GAGAGAGAGAGAGAGAGAGAGAGAGAGAGAGAGAGAGATTACAAATAGTGCATAGGTTTTAGGCAACCATCTCATGTTTGAGTTGATTTCCTCTAATTGTCCAGCATGTATGTTTATGCCTTGGGTAGAAGCTCTCGTACAAATATCAGAGAACTGAAGGTGCAGAGACATAAAAATCCCTGTCAACGTAATTACAGTAACTTTTATGCTTAACAAAAGTAGCGATTTTTAATATATTGTCATCAGTAGGAAAGATTTTGCAGATTTCACCCGAAACTGACACGGCTGCTCATGAGAAAATCCAATTGCTTATAATAAATTATAGACGGGGAAAAATGAAGGGGGGTTCAGGGATAAGATAATAACCTTTGCAAGGAAGGAAATGAACAAATCTGACAACGAGCATCGATTGATAAATCTCGACCTATCTGATCTGATTCTATGTATGTTTGCCCCACATATATCTTCAATGCGTTTTTCAGCAAGAGTCCTTACACCTTCAGGAGAAACTTCGGTATCAGAATGACTGTAGTTTCAAATGAGCAAGCACCAATAGTAACATCAAACGAGTTAAAAGTTAATAGCTTTATATGTTAAGGGAAGGGATTAAAAACTGCCGGCTAATTAAAAAGATGCTACCAGTCAAATCACAAATCTAAACTATGCTTTTAAGATTTTAATAACTAAAAATATAATACCTGTAAGATCATCACTCATATTGCCCGGATATATTTCTCTTAGAGGAGGCAATATTGCAGGCACCAAAGTCTGCAATATAGTACAGATAAAAAGATGAGCATGCACAAGGTTGTGGAGAAACAGATAAATTACAAGTGAACTTTTTAGTGGAATATGAGAAAAGTGATGGAGATTGTCGGTAGGCATTATTGAGGGCTCATTAAATATGCCCCCATTATAAGACAACTATATCATGTATTTCTGAAAGACCCTACTCTAAGTTTGGTAAAATCATCTGAAAACATACCAAGGATGCGGGTTGAGCATACACAGTTTATTAGCCGTCAAGCTCTGCCAAACATGATGCTATCTTACTTAAATCACATATTCTTGTTTACTTTATGTTTTAATTTAAATTGGGCATCTTCTCCCCCTGGGTTTCCATTTACGAATGTCTTAGATCCGTGGAAGTTTCTAAACCTCCGTGTATTGGAATTGGTATATATGATCTCAGGATCCCCAGAAATCTCCATTAGGCATTTTGAATCAAATTTACCTGAAAATGGAAAATGACAAGCAGACTGATAGAATATGAGTTTAAGGATCCAGATTTTGAATCATTAATGTGATGAGCTTTGGCCCACTCTTTCACCTGCACAAAAAGAGCAATTCAAACACGCATTCAACCGAGTTTCCTATGCTTCACTTTAAATTCTCGGTTATGGGAACTTACCAGTAAAACCAAATCGCGAAAGCGTCCATCAATTTCGTTAATCCAGAATAGCATTTTTGACTTCATTTGACCACTTAGATTGTTGATTGATAAGTCACATGAGATGTTGTACCTGGTCTCAAACTTCAGAATTGGTACCCTAGCGTTGGGGATGAACTGCAGCCTACGAATCCCACCTGAAAACACACAAAACTTGCTTGGTCAAAGCTAAGGATATGTTAGATTTATTTCATTTCCTATCTGCCAAAAAAATTGAGTTGCACTCACGCAACGTGCCTTTTAAATTGAAATGACTAACTTGTATTCTCTTAGGAAATAGGGTTGTACATGGCTTCCAAACTATATCTCCACATGAACTGTACTATGTGATGAAATTTCCATGATACATGACTCACAGAAAGCCAGTTTGAGCGGATAAATAAATAAAAAAGAATGAAGGCTTTTAACAAATGCAGTGGGATCCAACTAATATTTACAAGGGAAGAGGACATAAAACAAGACGCGGGATGAATATATCAGAACGCATAAAAATGTAAAAGATATGCTAATCCAAACAATTGTTAACTTGAAAAAGCAGCCGGAAAGGAGATTCCAAAATAAGATCAAATATGCTCTCTTTATCACGCACAGATCTCCGTTGAGAAACCGCACCCAATTACCAGATAAACCAAATAACGGAATAATGTTTTCTCAAGAAAACCAGTAACTTCACAAAATCTGTTACATCATAAATTGGACATAGACACACACACAGAGCCCTACATAATTTATATTTATATCTCCACCTTTAGTTTTCATTTTAGTTACCTGCTCAAAGACAAAAGAGAAATTTCATTTTAGTTACCTGCTCAAAAACAAAAAGAAACTTTTTGTTATCTAGATCACAGAATCAACAAAACATATAATTATGAATAGACAATAGCTCTAGGACACGATTCCTTTTTTCTTCTAGTTTAATTGTTGATATATTCTGCAGAGAAAACCTTTGTGATGTAGGTTACATAACCAATAGAGCATATAATTATGGATAGACAAAAGCTCTAGGACACGATTGACGATTCCTTTTTTCTTCTAGTTTAATTGTTGATATATTCTGCAGAGATAACCTTTATGATGCTAGTACTATGACCAATCACATCTAATTAACAGTTGCAATCATTTAATGCAGTTTCCTTACTTCAGCACTCATAATTTCAAAAGAATTCAGTTGACCCAACTGGCAAATTCCCATACTACACGATAACATCGTATTACAGAAATGGACGAAGAAAATCAGCAAGTCAAATAAAATTGCAGAACTAACAAACGAGAAATCAAATTTTATCACATAATGTACATGAAAGAGCTTGTGAAAATGCTAAGAATACTTAAAAGTGAAAATTTCGAGGCAGGTTAAGTTTTAGCTTTTCATTCACCTTTCTTTCTCAAAGCTTTTAACACATCTCCCAGTAAACTCTGCTTGTGCTTTTTCCCAGGAGATGCAATATATGAACCATTCTGCAACTCTATGGATATATCCAAATCTCCCCATTTCGTAAACAGATCAGATACAAAAGATCCAAATGGTTCTATAGTTGCACCTGTGTCCATGTTTTTTAAGCACCAAAAATGTAAGTATAACTGACCGAAATTTCTACAACTTACAAATAGTTTTCTCAGGTAAGTGAACAATCTGGAAAATGCAGGTTTGACCATTCCAATATGACTTTCAGATGACATGAGAAAAAGACAAAGTTTTAGAGGATGACAGAGAAAGATAGCTTCTATACGTCTATACTATTATCCTCAGATTATTATTATCAGTTTTAACTAATATTACTAAAATGTTAATCATGGTATGCTATCAGTGATCCAGTCACTAAATGTGTAGGTTCTTGCAGGGTTAATCTATATTCATGTACCATGTCAACTAATTCTTCACAATCAAAAAGAGTATATCAAGGTACTTCAAGAACAAGAAGCTCACTATATGCAGTTGTACATCTGACAAAACGAAAATTTTCAATTATGCAACATCAATAATTATTTCTTTGACTTTATGCTTTTTTTTTTTT